ATATATATATATGTATTTTACTTTGATAACTAAGCTTTAATATGGATAGATAATAATCTATTCTATATTAAAAATATTATTGCAGACAAGTCCATATTATAACTCACAGTTATACCGTACATTGTTCAAGTTTATTATTGACTCAAGCAGAATAAGCGTAACTGGAAGCCTGCAGACGTGGTCAATGCGAAGTTCTTAATTGTGGCCGTTATTGTGTTTATTTTTTCACCTTGCGGTTACTTTGTTTGTATATTTGCCTACATTTTCTATTGTATTATTTTTGTCTTTTGTTAATTTGCTTTATTTCAAACTTTTATTTTTTAATTTTATTTTACATTATTGCACTTGCAATTCGATAGTGTTCCATAATAAAATAAATAGTTTCTTTATAAATCTATAGAAGTATTTAATAAGCTTAAAATAAACATGTATTGTGAATATCATTTATTACACATATTGGCTTCCCGCTATCATATATATATAAATATTGTATATAAAATTCATATAAGTTTAATGTCGTGGTAAAAATATATCTGTAGCTTAATATTGCATCGACTGACAAGAGATGAAGGCGTCGCATCACGGTGATAAACGCATATGTGCTTCATTCTGTTCTTCAGTATGCTTGTGTCGATCGTAGGCGACGGATGTACTACACTGTTGTGCATGTGTTCTTCTGAACTCTGCAAGTGCTCCGGAAATATTAATAACGAGCGACAAAGATCGAAACGCTATCAGACGAATAAACTTCACTTTATGACATAAATTATTTTTATTTATTTCTGAAGAGTAAATTAACACATATTAACTTTTCGATATTTATAAAAAGTGAAGTTTATAAAGTATATGTGTAAAATGAGAAATACTGAATTATAGTAGGCCGAAGTGTAATTTAAACTGATAAACTAATATTGTGTTAATGTTAATTGCAATATAATATAAAAATTTTGATAACTATGTTCGAAAATTAAATTGTGAAACAAGAATTATCTAAACCAGGATAAAGTATATTTCTTCTTAAATATTAATTAAACATCGATAATAAACATTTTATATATTTATCGATAAGATTCTAAAATTACATTAGATTGATCACATTAAGTTGGAAACTATACGTAATCAATTAACGATAAATGCAAAAGTAAATGAAGTATTTAATATTATTTTGGAATTACAACAGTTAAGAAAGAAAAATACAAATTTCAAGTAAAAAATTATTACAAAAATAAATTCAAGATATTACTATTATTAAATTCATTGTAAAAGAAATTTCTGTTGTTCTTATGTTACAATTGTTTAATAAAACTTATGCAACGTGAATATAGATGTAAATTTACAGATAATTGAAAATAATCTGATTAAATTGGATTCGAATAGAAGTCAGATAGAAGTGAGAATTAGATTGGATCAGCAATTAAATCTCAAACATATCAAAATATTAATACTGCTTTATTGTCAAAATTTATTTAATTATTTTTATAAAGATTGGTACATCTGAGAACTCTTTTCGAAATGAATTAATGTTTTTTCTTAATCCTTCTACTTTAATTTTGAAATAAACATGATCTGCTCCTTTTTTCTTCTTTTGCCGCAGGATAAAAGTGCGGAAAAATGACAGGGCTCACAAAAGAGTGAGAGAGAAGAAGCAAGAATAGAGAGATTCTCTTGTAGTTCTCTGCCTTTAGGGGGGGAAAAAACTCACCGGACGGGTTTTAAAACGGGACAGGACCAGTGTGGGATATTTAACATCTCCGTATGTCGTAAATCTTCGAAAATGTACTGTACAATTAGGTGAACGCGTCTATTCCGCGAATGCGGAAAGCTTCTCACCGATTTCTTTCGGAATTCGATATTTTGTTCTCACGATCATTTAGACAGAATCTTATTCTTTTTCGTTATATAATGTATTATATCGTCATAAATAGTGAGACTCGAGCGCAAAACAAGACACATCTTAGTTCTCTATTATCTCCTATCTGAGTCCAATTGACTGAAATGTGATTAGCATTCTTTGCGATGATTAAAGTGTTTGTGTTTGTCCGCTTACAAAACTTAAATGAATGTGTTTAATAACGATAACATATCAATTACAAGAAAAGAGTTTGCATCTTATCAATTGGTAATAATAAAACTGATCACATCAGAATTTATAGAAAGGAATATGGCTTTTTCTCCTTAGAATTATAGATATATACGAAATTTCTTAAAGTCGATATCAAACTGGAGACTGACAACACGAGATCAAGATTGAAATTGAATTTAATAATCAATCAAGGCAGAATTTAATAAACTTTTATTTAGTTTTCTTTCTTTTGGTTGATTAGTTTCCATGTCTTGAATCTCAATGTCTAGTCGAATACAAGTTTATTTAGGGCATATATAAATTTAGCGCGGAAAATAGTTAAGTATTAGACATTTACATTTAAATGCCTATAAACGTATGACATGAATATAAGATGCAATATTTAAATTGAGTAGTCTATCTAGAAAATTAATTCTCTATAGGGTGAACATGTTGATATACTAGAGAGCAAAGAATTTGCAGCAACGTGTAACTTTTATGGAAGGATGGTTTCTTGACACATTGTAAAATCGATGCAAGGATGAAACTCTTCGTCTATCATCAAGTCAAATCGTGAAGATACATATGAACATGTAAATTTTATTTGCGTTGAACTTACACGGACACATACACACGCATAATAATCATCCCGCTGAAAATCGTTTAATTTCCGCGATGACGTCTATGCTATCCGGAGAAGAAAGCAACCCGGTGAGGATGAAGCAAAAGTTAATGAGAAACGTACCTGTCAAGGAGGAGACGAGGTCATTCCTAAACTTTTCGCGGGAAAACTTAAGCATCTCGCACTCTGACCTCGAACAAGGGTTCAATCGGTCGCGGCTCGTAAGACCAAGCAGAAATACGATTCTGAGCGTGGCCGCTCTTATGGCCGCTGTTGTCTGCTTCGGCCTTCAGAGCTGGAAGCTATTGTCGAACACTCGCGAAATTGAACAGCTGAGAAGAGACGTCGATATCTTGAAGCATCGGTTTCTGGAGCAGGATCTTATGAACGAGCTAAAGGCTTTCGAGGAACAGGTAGGTTCCTGCACTAATTGGCGAGCATAATTATCGAATTTTTTCTTTGTAAAGTTATTTAGGAAAAAAGAAAAATAAATTGCGTTTCTTTTTATCCTATTTACTATTAGTAAAATTAGTTAATCAATGCAACTCGTGATGTATATCGACACGAGGAAAGCAATAAATGATATAGTCATTTTTCCATATTATGTGAATTTTCACGTATCTCAGTAAGCAAAAAATCATTACTATAACGTTACAACAATATTTATCAATATGTAATGTTTCCAAATATATTATATTTAATATTATATACACAACATATCATTATGAACAAACATTGATATATTTGATGGTTTCTATAATATTGATATTTTATTATAACGTTATAAATCAATATCAAATCTTATTGGACCGTCAAAGTTTTAAACTATAAATATCGAGAACGTGTTAATAAATTACTATAATATTTTTTCGCAATATAAATTAATTATTTAAAGATTTTTAATAAGTCATTTATAGATTTTAATATGTCATTCAACATTATTAAGATCCAAATGGTTCGCACTGTTCCTTAATCTAATCTGCGACAATAGCAAGGTCCATCTCATCGGCCTCGTCTCCCTTTCAAGAAAAAGGGTCTTGCTCCTCCTCCTGCTTATTCCCATTTCAGAAAAATAAGATGAAAATTTTAAAGTAAAATGAGGAAAAAATTTTAATATATAACGAGGAAAATTTTGACAGGAAGAAGAAAACATTTCAAATTATTTGAATAGAAACACTAATTTAGAGGCTCACAGCGGTATACGCAGTGCAGTGCGTTTTCCAAGCCATATCTTTGCACCTCACGATCCGTAATAGTCTACACGATTTTTTAAACATTTCCGATGGTTAGATATAATGCTTGAATTGCTGCAAAAGGCCATTTTGAATAATATCTACATTAAGCAAGTGATTTAATTTAACTTGAATAAATAATTAAAAAAATACAAAAATAAATTAAATTAAAAAATACAAAAATGAAATCTACGTTTTGTCTTTTTTGCGATTTTCTCCAAAACAAAGCAAAAACGAACATATTTCTACAAGACTTTTTTCTTAATTTGATTTCCCACAGACTCCCGAAATTTTAATTGTCAAAATTTAATGAAATTTAAATTTCAGACACCCTGTATACTTATGTTTATATCAATGAGTATCGTACATTCGTGTGCGTGCGTGCGTGCGTGCGTGTGTGTATAGTTATCGAAAAACCAAAAATTTATAAGTATATTTTATTTACATAGTCTGAAAAAAATAAGTAATGTAAGATTATTACTAATAATCAACTCTCTCTTATATATTTCATTCGGCTACCTTTTCGGTTTATTCCCCGTTACCGAAGATCGCACGGGTCTGATCCCTGATTAAATGGATTAAGTCACTTGATTCAAAAGAGAACCGCCGAGTACACTATCCTAAACGAGGGTAATATAGCGTCGTGATGTCAACGTTGACATCGAAGGTCCATTCAAGTACTTCTGATTTATATAGCACGATAATCAGAGCGATAACCACAAGCAAGACGTCAGTTAGCGTCCTTTGCTGCATCCTCCTGTTTTCTATGTTTTTCGTGAAATCATTAATATAGTAAAAGAATCCTAGGACTTAGACGTAACAGTACACACACACAAACAGAGAAGAAGGGATACATAACTGGATAAATTTAAAAAATATTTATTTTGCAGAAAAACAGTTTTAAAAGGTAAAATTATTCCTTATACGAGTATGTACTATTCGATATAAAAAACATAAAGCAAAAACATCCAGCAATAGACTTAAATGCCCTTGTTTGACTCGTATAACTCGATTCAACTTATCTGACAATTATTATAGATGCTTTAATCAAATATCAAAATATAATTAAACTATCAAAGATATTAAAAAATTTACAGTTGAAGTTATATCAATTATTTATAAAAAAAAAAGAATTTTATTATTAGAATAAAATTTCTATATAGATACTAGAATTTCCCATTATATATTACATAGAGCGGTAGTTCATACCGCTTTTAGAAGCAGCAATTACTTCAATTGTCCTCAAAAGGAAATCATACCACAATTACTATTACTAATGCGTTTCCACGTATCAGACATTCGTCACTAATTGACAACACCAATTTAACTACGTGATCGTATAGTTGCAATGCTTGATGGAAGATTTCTGTGAAACATATAGGATATTTGTAGTATACATATACAGAACAAGCCGCGTGATCCTATGAAACAGTTTACATGCAAATGTACAACACATTGTAGCTGTATGCTGAAGAGTCTACCGAGGATAATGATCCAAACGAGACAGACATTGATAACGCCGATTACGACTCTAATTACGACGATGATGGTTCCGCATTACACGATTATTCCGGCGACTACTATACTCCCTTGACTTATGGCGCCAGACCGTCAGATTTTCTTGACAGTACGTCTACGTCGATACCAATACCTACGTCTCCGGATCCCGGTACCAATGAAGACATGATTGAATTGCTGGCAGCCTTGCGTAAGATAGAAGCGAAGCACGGACAGGACTTCGAAAGGGACATACGAGAGAATCATAAGTAAGGCGTTATATTATCTATACATTATTTTATTAAAAAAATCATCTTTTGATTTTACAAAGAATCTTGCCATTTAAGCATTTAATAATGAATCATATATATAATTTATAGAGAAATGCTAAATTATTGAACACTCTATAATATCCGTTGCTAAAAAAGTCTACTAAAATATTAAGGATGCTCCGAATCAACAATATTTGTGAAGTCAAAAAGAGTGAATTTTTAATCATTATTATTATATTATATATAATAAGTAAATTCAATAAAACAAATAATATACATTCCATACGCGTGCTGTTTTTTATTTTAATTATAAAATAATTTTCTTAGTAACCGTTTTTCTTGTTAGCAAAAAAATTTATGGCACGACTATGTATTATTTATGTAAAACTCAGTGGACAAACAACGTTAATTATCTACTTTGAATAGTATTTTTTATTGCATGTAGAAATATCGAACGAGAACGCTTTAAAGGGACACACAAAGAGCAATTAAATTATGAAAAAAAGACGAACGACACAAACAGCACTAGACACAAACCTGATGTTACCAGAGGAGCTACAAATTCAGAATACATCAAAGAGAGTATTAAATCGAAGCGATCGGTGAACGATAGCTTGATTGACGATTTCAAGAGAGAGGAAGCAAATGGCAAACGACATAATACTAGAAGAATTGTTGTACCCAAAGCACGTTCTTATGCAAACAACGAGAACAACACAAATGACAATTTTGGGACAGATCCAACATCGTAAGTATTTACACGGTGTAATTTATAAATTGAAACAAAAAAAATCATGTAAAGAACGTATCAGAAAAATATTTTTAAACATTTTTTATATAAAATATAATCCTTTACAATATCCTTATCAATATATATTACTTTGTTCTCATTTTTAATCTTTGCACTGTTGAATATTCATTTGTTTGTAACCTTTAGTTGATAGATTACAGCTATTATAGTAGTTTAAATCTCTAGAATATCGAGTTTTTTTGGCCTGTCAACTGCAATTTCAGTTTTCGAAAATAAAAAATAGTCAGGGAGATAAACCAAATGCTTGGACCACACAATATGTGTACGTGAGCTTGGTAAAATGTGTTACCTCACTCTAGTTGCATTTTTAATGAGTGAGAAAATTTTAACAAGAATGATACACAGATAAAATTTAAAATCTTTTTTAACAAATATCTTTTGATATTAATAAGCCTGTTTTTGTACAACCTGCAATCTAAGTTTTGAAACAAAACATCAAAAACATTTCTGTTTAAAATAAAATTCTTAAAAATATCAATACCATTCTGCTCCGTTTTTTTAATCCTTACATCACCGTTGATCTTTAATAAGTATAATTCTTAAAAATGTTCAATATGGCGATTGTAGATACATTAAATTAGATGTGTTCAAGAAGTAGAAAGAGATCGAATGTAACGTATAT